CCTGTCTACACCTTTTCTTAGTGATCTTATCCAGGTTTGGGTGCTTTAAATAATATCATTATATGGGAGGCTGATGACTACTAGATTTTTATCTTCTGACTCCCAAACCAAACAAATATACAACTGCCTAATTGACATCTGTACCTGGACGTGTAACAATCAACTTAAATCTCCAAAACAGAGCTGGCATTGTCTCCCAACCTACTTACCTCTCAATAAATAGCAACTCCCTTCTTTTAGTTGCTCATGAGAGAACCCACTGGGATGCTTGTCACCTCTCTTTCAGTCACACTCCATAAGCAATGAGTTTTACTTTCAAAATGTGTCCAGAACCTGACCACTTTTTACTACCTCCACTGCTGTTGCAATAACTTCTCACCCAGATTACTGTAGAAGGTTTTCTGCCTCCGCTCTTATCCCTTCCATCTGTTTATTTTGTTGTTGTTGTTGTTGTTGTTGCTGCTGCTGCTGTTTACCCAAGATGAATGTTTGCTCTGTTGTCCAGGCTGGAGTGCAGTGGCACGATCTTAGCTCACTGCAACCTCTGCCTCCCAGGTTCAAGCAATTCTCTGGCCTCAGCCTCCCAAGTAGCTGGGATTACAGGTGTGTACCACCACGCCCAGCTAATTTTTATATTTTTAGTAGAGTCGGGGTTTAACCATGTTGGCCAGGCTAGTCTCAAACTCCTGACCTTGCAAGCCACCCGCCTTGGCCTCCCAAAGTGCCAGAATTTCAGGCATGAGCCACCACACCCGATCCCCTTCAGTCTGTTTTCAAAACAGAGATGCGAGTGATCCTATAAAATATAGTGCTCTGCTCAGAATCCTTTGATGACATCCTATTTCTCTGAGGGTAAAAGCCAGTGTCTTTATAAATTCTACACAACCTACCCCCAGTACCTTCCTGACCTTATGTCCCACCCTCCCCTTACTCTACACCCCTCCTGCAGTCCCACAGGCTTTCAGTCTTCCATGCATGCCTTCCCTTTTCCTAGCTCAAGGACTTTGTCCTTGCTATTTTCTTTGCCTATAACAGTTTTCTCTGATGTTCATGCAGTTAATTTTCTTATCCCATTTTGTCTTTGCTAAAATGTCACCACCTCAGTGAGCCCTTCCCTGGACACCTTATTTAAAATTGCAACATCAACCTAGTAGTTCCTATTCACTGCCCTATCCTTATTTTTCTCCTTAGAACTTACAACTATCTGTCATTCTCTACATTTTGCTTATTTTAACTCTGTCAGTCTTGTCCACTAGAACTTAAGGTCTATGAGATAAAATATTTGTGTTTCATTCCCCACTGTGTCTTCAACAATTAGAACAGTGCCTGACATACAGCTAGGCACTCAACAAATACTTGGTGAATGAAAGAATGAACATAGTAATGCTGTAAACGATTTCCCTTAATCTGATTTCCCCTGGCTGTAAAAGCTTTAGTAAAGATACTTTTTCCTTAAAAGACAGAAATGTAGCCATTCTTCTTTGTTCTCAAACTGTCAGTGTTATCCTCTTCATTTTCCTTATCACTATCCTCACAACTGCTTTACAAACCCAGCACTCTGCTAAATACCGTAACTCACACTGAAACTTTTAAAACATGCTCTGATTCGTTTTCTGTTTGAATACAAAGAGGATTATTATTTTTGCAAGAAACATTGTTAATTGTTATCAATACTTATCTCCAGACTCTGTAGGGAATTCACTTAATCAAGAGAAGGTGATAGAATGACAGATATCTAAGTGAGGCTCTTAGGGACTAAATGGAAGAGGTTGACCGCTACGAAAAGTGAGACAAACCTTTCTTTCTGTTGGAGACACCCATAATTATTTTTAGGATACATTAAAAATCAACAACATCGGGCCGGGCGCGGTGGCTCAAGCCTGTAATCCCAGCACTTTGGGAGGCCGAGGCGGGTGGATCACGAGGTCAAGAGATCGAGACCATCCTGGTCAATATGGTGAAACCCCGTCTCTACTAAAAATACAAAAAAAAATTAGCTGGGATTACAGGCACGCGCCACCATGCCCAGCCAATTTTTTTTG